TCTTTTTAAATCGAATTTTGCCGTCAAAACATCAAGCAACATCGTGTATTCAGAGTTTTTTTTTATGCTATGATTCTGCTGCTGTTTACGAGTTGCAACGTGTTTCCTTACGAGTTGCAACGTGCTTGCTTACGAGTTGCGGTTTGGCGGTAGCATTCCAGCTCGTACTCTCTTCTGTTTTTTTAATATTTAACAAATAGATTCCAAGTTGCCGTGCGTCTTTTCAGTAATAGATCACAGATTAAGTCAAAATGTGGTAAGAACAACAAAGTGGCTCACGAGGCGCAGCCGAGTGTGTCACTGAAAAAAAAAAATGGAAAACGTACTTTGAGATTTAAAAGGTTGTTTAAGCTGCAGTTTTAGCATGCGATGGATACTCTAGTCTGAATGTTTAAAAGAAGAAGTGAAACGGCCCGATACATTCACCACTCCCACTAAGAATCATAGGACAAAAAAAGAAAAACCTCTGAATACACGATGTTGCTTGATGTTTTGACGGGAAAATTCGATTTAAAAAGATAAAAAACGCATACGCTTTACAAATCGTAGTTAGATTGTTTCGTGGTAAGCAATGTAATTCATAACAGTGAACCAGCTCGGTTAACGATAGATCAGTGTAAAACCACAAACAATAGTGAAACAATGGCAAATATGTCAGGCAAAGAACAGACAAGGAAAGCTCACATGAAGGAATACATGACAAGAAGGAGAAGAAACAATGAGTTCAGAAATAAGCAAAACAGAGCTCTGCAAGCAAAAAGATTAGAAAATATTGAAAAAACAAGAGAATCTCAAAGGCAGGCATTTAACAAACGCAAAGAATCGAATCTTGATCATCTTAGAGAACTCAATAGGCAGGTATTTGCCAAAAGTAAAAAGAGTAACCCTTAGCATGTATGAAATGTGAACAAATATGCACAGAATAGAAAGAGATCCTTGATGTCTGGGTTGAACTCATGTGACCATGACCTGCTTCAACCAACAACTACAAGACCAAGTTATACAGCAGTTAATGAAACACATGAATTTGAATGTCAATATTCTACCCAAGAGATGCACACAATGACAAAAGTCGTTCAAACTTTTCACGATAACATTAAGTGTGGTCCTTAATATATGAATGTACTTGCTGTGATCAATCGGTCATCTGTCAGAAAGTGTGAAGCAAACAAATATCCTAAATGTTTCGAAACTTTGCTTGAAGC